TTCCTAGTTTCAGTTCTCCTTTGTATTGTTACTTATGTTACCAGCTGTAACTTCCTTGTTTCAGTTCTTCTTCATCTTGTTACTTATGTTACCAGTCGTTACTTCCTAGTTTCAGTTCTTCTTCATCTTGTTACTTATGTTACCAGCCGTTACTTCCTAGTTTCAGTTCTTCTTCATCTTGTTACTTATGTTACCAGTCGTTACTTCCTAGTTTCAGTTCTTCATCTTGTTACTTATGTTACCAGTCGTTACTTCCTAGTTTCAGTTCTTCTTCATCTTATTACTTATGTTACCAGTCGTTACTTCTCTTTATATTTGATATGTTTATTTAAATGTGAAATTAATATTTTGGGCAGCTGATAAATAGATGTTATTTTATATTAAAAAACCTTGTTTACACACACTAAGAAAATTATTTTTTTCATTCTGTTCGTTTTAAAAAGTCACACACTGTTTTGATATTTTTTCCATCTCTGGTTGATCGTTGTAAATGAATTTTTCTTCTTGACGTCCTCAGCCATTGAAGTCGATGAATGTCACGAAGATTCTCAGTGTCCACGAAGATCAATTTGTGAGCGTAACAGTAAAGGAATTAAAAAATGTGTTGGTAAGTTCAAACGATTCTCACTAATATACAGAAGTGAGTGATTTTTTTTTAACCTTCTGCTTTATAATTACATTTAAAACTGTTGATAGTTAAGTTTTATTCTAGCTGCTTGAATGTTTGTGAAGAAGTGAAAATTGAGTCTTGTTGAAAGTCAAACTCATTATTACCTTTTGGCCGGTTGAGCTGTTAAATAAGGTATTAAATTTTAAGTTTTCTTCTCCAGAAAACATTCTAACTCTATAATGAATGGGACAGCATGATATCCTAATGTTTGAGTAATCAGAAGTGGCCTGTAAAGATTTATAAAGTGCAACTCTTATAAAACTTAACTACGAACATTTTGTCTATTTTTTACCTTTGTGGATTGCATTTGCCTTAAAGGTTTTTGTACAACGTTACGAGCTGCTGGTGCATATCTTTATCAGATAAAATTGTTAAGATGTCGTTGTGAAATATTGTTAAAATGTTATCGAGAACTCCGTGAATGAAAACCTGAAATGTCTAGAAAAAAAGTTATTAAAACATGGAAGAATGAAGTTGGAGTGGAGGGTTCCAAGTCTTGGGTAAGAGATACATTGTCATTGGAACTTAACTGGAGGTTGAGCTGTGTGGATTTCTGGTTTGTTGCTTATTCTTTTCATTGTTGGGGAAAGACAGATGTCTCCAATCATATACAATCTTCTCAGTGCCCTCAGAAATCCCTTCACTAAATTGTATGGAGTTTTTTTTTATGTTTTGAGAGTTGAGTGTCATATAATTATTTTTTCTTCCTCTAGATGTCTGTGTCAATTTGCAGTGTGGCATTAATGCTGAATGTTCTGTTAGAGGAAGAAAAGGCACTTGTATTTGTATACCAGGCTATGAAGGTGACCCTCATGATCTCTATCATGGATGTCAACGTAAGATGAATATTTTAGTTCTGAAAGTTTTTTAGATATAATTATATAACAATTCATTTAGTCAATGGAGATAAAGTACGTGAAGAAAACAAAACACACTCTACATATATGTCAGAGTTTCCAAATTTAATCTGCAAGCCTGTTATTTGATTTTTTCTAACACTTTTATAAATATTTTATTTGTAATACCTCCCTCTGGTGTCAGTGTTAGTCAGTATGGTTTTAATTTTTACCTCTCACTGATGGCAGTGTTATTAAAGTGATTTTGATTTTTTTCTTTCTCGGGTGTGAATGTTTATTGACATGATTTTGATTTGAAGATCCTCTAGTGGCAGTATGTTTTACGTTTGTTATTTGTGGTATAATTATACTTCCCTTTGATGAAGGTGTATGTTACTGTGGTATGATTATACCTTCTTTTGACGAAGGTGTATGTTACTGTGGTATAATTATACCTTCTTTTGATAAAGGTGTATGTTACTGTGGTATAACTATACCTTCTTTTGATGAAGGTGTATGTTACTATGGTATAATTATACCTTCTTTTGATGAAGGTGTATGTTACTATGGTATAATTATACCTTCTTTTGATGAAGGTGTATGTTACTATGGTATGATTATACCTTCTTTTGATGAAAGTGTATGTTACTATGGTATAATTATACCTTCTTTTGATGAAAGTGTATGTTACTATGGTATAATTATACCTTCTTTTGATGAAAGTGTATGTTACTATGGTATAATTATACCTTCTTTTGATGAAAGTGTATGTTACTGTGGTATGATTATACCTTCTTTTGATGAAAGCGTATGTTACTGTGGTATGATTATACCTTCTTTTGATGAAAGTGTATGTTACTGTGGTATGATTATACCTTCTTTTGATGAAAGTGTATGTTACTGTGGTATGATTATACCTTCTTTTGATGAAAGTGTATGTTACTG